CCTGTGGTTATCCTAAATCGTTGGATGAGCTGTTTTCATGAAAGAAAGCGAATTATTTGGGCGTATCAAATCATGGATAGAACATTTGTGGGAGAGCGAGGGTACCTGTGGCTGAGTATTTAGTGGAGCCTGAGGCAGCGAGTTTGCAGCGCAAGAAGTGGCGCCAACTTAAATGAGAACCGCGTTGGAGTTGCCGACTGCCGCGCGCAACGCGAAAGTCCAAACTCCAAAAAAGGGCACATCTCAAAGTGAAGCTCTGCAGCTGATAGCTATTTGACCTCTGACTACACTTTCATCACCAGATACAGTATCGCGATTTTGTTCTCTCTTCGTTGTTGACGCCAAAATCAGGAATTGTGAATTTACGTTCAAGAGCGAATTGCTCTAAACACCCTCCACAATGTGGGCTACCTTTGTCGCACTCCTTCTCCTTGACTCGTTATACTCATCTCGTTCATAGGGAGGCCTTTGACAACATCTACCTCGACCTCTCAAAACAGCCCGGAAAATGCAAGCTCGCTGAGAGTGGTTTGGGATGGCGTCCTTCTGGCGGAGGCGATACGTTCACGCTTGATAGCAACAATATCGGAGCAGCTCAATGGAGCCGGGCAGCGAAGGGATATGAGCTGAAAATCCTATCACGCTCATCGGGTGTGATTCAATTAGACGGATTTGACCAAGAGGTAGGACTCGTGGCGAAAACCAACCTTAATGGTAGATCTGGGGACTCTTTTATTGACTATGCGGGTTTTGAATAGGACTTTGAACGATTGAGCAAGGCGTTCAAGATTTGGTACGGCATCAATGTTGAGAACCGCGAGCATGCACTACGAGGGTGGAATTGGGGTAAAGCAGAATTTACAAAGGCAGAACTCGCTTTCAGCGTTCAGAATCGACCTGCATTTGAAATCCCGTATTCGGAAATCTCGAACACAAACCTGGCAGGAAAGAATGAGGTCGCAGTCGAGTTCGCTCTCACATCAGACGGCGACGCCAATGCCCAACCTTCTGGAAGCACAAAGAACCGCGGTCGGAAAGCTGCCGCGGGTCCGGATGAGTTAGTCGAGATGCGTTTCTACATCCCGGGGACGGCAGTCAAGACAGAGAAGGGCATTAAGACAGAAAATGATGAGGAGAATGGAGAAGAAGAAGAGGAAGAAGGCGAGGAACAGAATGCGGCCAACCTTTTCTATGAAACTCTTATGGAGAAGGCAGAGATTGGCGATGTCGCCGGTGACACTTTTGCTACGTTTCTTGATGTCCTTCATCTTACACCCAGGTACGTCTCTTTGTTGAACGCGCTTTCCCGCCGTTGCGTGCTAAGGAACTCTGCAGAGGTCGCTTTGATATCGACATGTACGAATCGTCGTTCCGACTTCGCGGCAAAACATACGACTATAAGATTCAATACGCCTCTATCAAGAAATTCTTCCTGCTTCCTAAGAACGACGAGATGCACACACTCATTGTATTAGGCCTTGACCCTCCTCTACGGCAAGGTCAGACTCGGTATCCTTTCCTTGTCATGCAGTTGAAGCTCGATGAAGAAATCAGCCTGGAGCTCAATATGACAGAGTCAGTTCTCCCCGAAAGATTTTTTTGACGTCGAACTTGGAACTAATTATCTGTAGAGAACTATTGGAATCCCGCTACAAGGATAAGCTGGAACCACGCTACGAAGAGCCGATTCATCAAGTCGTCACCAAGATCTTCCGTGGCCTGTCTGGCAAGAAAGTCATCATGCCATCAAAGGACTTTGTCAGGTCAGTCATACTTATCCTTGGCAGTTCGCCTGACCCGTGCTGACTACGTGCAATAGCCACCACGGACACAGCGGAGTCAAATGCTCGATCAAAGCCAACGAAGGTCTTTTGTACTTCTTGGACAAGAGCTTGATTTTCGTACCCAAGCCCGCTACTTACGTGCAGATTGAGAATATTGCTGTTATCACCATGTCCCGTGTTGGTGGCGCCGTGTCCGCAAGTAGAACATTCGATATTACGGTCACATTGAAGGCTGGAATGGGTGAACACCAGTTTAGTAACATCAACCGGTATGCCATTTCCAGAACTACATGCCACTAGTGTCACTAATACCTACCACAGTGAGGAACAACAGCCACTTGAGGAATTCTTCAAGGCCAAGAACATTCGGTTCAAGAACGAGATGTCAGATGATGTATGTCTACTCCGACAACAACCGACAACTTTCTGGTCATTAGATGCTAATATATTGCAACAGACCTCGGCACTTATTGCCGCTGCCCTTGACAACGACGACATGATGTCTAGTGATGAGGATGGCGGGCGGGCCGATCGCGGCTCAGCAGATGAGGATGAAGAATCTGTTGACGAAGACTTCCAGGCAGACTCTGAATCAGATGTTGCCGAAGAATTTGATTCTGAGCACGAAAGCAGCGGCAGCGCAAGTGACGCAGAGATGGATGACGCTTCGGACGCCGGCGACGATGAGGAAGATGTGGACATGTCAGAGGAAGAGGAACGACCCAAGAAAAAGAGCAAGATTGGGAAGTAGTTTGGTTTGTTCTGGACAAAATCGACATACTTCTGACCCTAATTGTGTAGTGAATACACTTGGAAGCGAACTCTCTTTCCCTTCACAGAAATGCTGTACCATCAATCTACAAACTGTCATGGTAATCTACGTTGAATCTTAATGAAGTACGACTCTCGATGTTAAGCCAATATCTAGATATATAGATAGTCTACTCTTTAATTGCAAATACAGAGATCTCTTAGTGAAGGCTCCGGTCACTGTTGCTTGAGCTCACTTTGAGTTCTGATGTGTCGCATAAGCAATCGTCTATCGCGTCAGCTCTCCGTCTGTGGCACGACTATTGAAATTAACCCGGCACAAAGACCCTTATCCCAAACAGGATTCGGTCTATCGCTTCGGACAGAGGTAGACTCATTAGTCGGATACCTAATGTTGCGAGAAATTTCATGGATATGCATTAAAGCGCGTCCATGTTGGTCATAATCCATCGGCTCATAGGTCTACGATGAACAATGTACCTCAGCGATGAATAATGCCATGTAGATCTCGGTAAAGCTACATTAGTAGAACCAGCGGTCAGTTCTCTGGCCTTGTGATTGTGCGAAGCGCTACCTCTTCTTTGCATCCAGGGCTTTTTATCCTCGATCAAGCACTACCTAGTAAATCTGCCCTTCTAGGCTATTGCATCCAACCTGACTCGTATCGTTCAATTATGCTATCATGTTCCGTCCAATATCAAGTGGTCTCAAGACCTGCCTGCAGGTCTGCACTACATTGGAAGATTACTGATATGCTGCTTCACCGTCTGTGCTGCCAACGGAATAGTTCTGTATGCCTTAAATAACCCGGAATATGACCTGGATATACATTGATGATGGCACCATATCGGTAATTTCCTGTCTTCGATGACTCTATCCCGATCTCAGAGTATCCTCGAATCTGGCAAAACATTGCGCAAAGGATACGGAGTACATAGCAATCAAAATATGAATCTTGACTGCCCAGGTTTCAACTCTACCAACCCAATTTGATGGTCATCCACGGTGGGAATCTCATCCTGCCTCAGGCCGCTCATCAAGTTAATGATTGGTCGGTGGCTAAATTTCCGTTCGAAAATCGACGGGAAGTTCCAAGGGAGGCTGTTTTTACCCCTGATTTGAAAAGGTAACCGCGGTACCATCAGTAAGGTATTGCACGGCGTAGGTCAAGAAGCCAGACAGAGATAGCTTGCTATATCGTACATACGCTTGATATGGATGAACTGATGGGATGTTGTCAAAATTGCGGGAAATTCTTGATATCAGTCAATCTTATGCACTAAGCTAATCATAAGAGCCAACTCTTATTGATGGTCGGAGCATGCTCCGTAGATATACTCCGTTTACGGTACAGTAAGGTTCTGAAAGCTGTAGGATCTAGCTCGAGGTTTCAAATCTTGTGGAGCAACATAAAAGAAGTCCGCACTCGATGCCATACAGCCCGTACAGACGTGTCTTTTGTGCAGAATCGCGCTGTCCGTCCTTGGTTGGGCAAGTTCACTGTCTTTCTGAAGTTCTAAATCTTGTCTCAGTTATCAGGACACGTTCAAGGTCCTCGGGGACAATAACCAAAGCAAGGATATCTCCAGCCTTCAGAGAGGTAAGCTGTGTAGAACATGATAAAGTGATAAGTCTTTTGCTCGATTTTCGAGAAATTTATGGCCAAAGTGATTAGATAGATCAATGCTGTTTTGTTTCTCAGGACGAGTATGTGCTTGAGGCTAAGATGTTGCTTAATTGAGCGAAGTGCCCCTTTCTTTGGCGGATTGGCAGTATCTAGTCTAGTTAGTAGTATGGCTCGCTCCAGCGACCACCTTTCTTCGACCTCCACCCCATCACTCTCCGCAGGCCCAGTTTCCCCTGGTTCTTCATATTATTGTTGCTTTACTTCTCTCGTTCAACGACCCCTTCTTTTTATTTGTACTCAATAATTTCCCTTCATAGTACTTTATTTTCTACAATAGTTATTGTGTCTACCTTTTTTCGCACCGCCGTTGAGCTTGATTGGGATTATTATTTACCGTGGTCTCGGTCGTCTGCTCGTGGTTGACTGATTTCACCCTTTGCCAGTGAAACGGTGGTAAGTTAAGATAGCACTTCCGGGGCTGCAACTCCTCCCTACTTCTGCAAAACCTTTGAGACCGAGGCATCGATTTGCTTATTGCCCTTGCTCCCTTCTGTGCCCCTCCTTCCCCTAGCTGTGTGCAGTAGGAATCTCTGTTTGCTAATTCAGAAGGCGCTATTCAGGGGAACTTCCTTCTTGACGCTCGCTATCTTGATCGCATCCCACGCTCGCTTCTAGAATCAACGGATAATTTTTACAATGGGTAAGCCCGCTTTCGATATTCTTTTGCATCGAGCTTCATTCTTGTGTCAATCTGTCCGCCAACTACCCGTCAATTCTCACTTGTCATCCTGCTGAGTTCTACGTGCTACAATACAACAATGTTGGTGGCCTCGGAGCATCCCACTGTGGAGGAGAATCTACCACTGGAATCTTCGAGCCCGACCCTCAGTTCGTTGCAACAGAAGCCGGGACCGAAGACCCTTTCACTATCCTCTCTCCTGCCAGGGACCTATCCGTCTCGAAGTGAAACCCGAACCCCATATAACTTTGCTGACTCTTCTTCGGATGATGTAGCTTCACCATCCTCTGCTGCCAATGGCACTCCCGCGTCTGTCAAGGAATCACCTGCACCTAGCAGCCCAGGATCTCCTTACGTTGAGCGTAGCAACCCCATGGGTGCCGGCAACGCTCAGACAGTCAGCTCCAAGGATCCAAAAGCTGTGGCTCAAGCTGCCACGGACATGAAGAACGTCGTTCGCCGCAAACTGACTGGCTACGTTGGTTTCGCCAATTTGCCCAACCAATGGCACCGCAAGAGTGTGCGCAAAGGATTCAACTTCAACGTAATGGTTGTTGGTAAGTTCTCTCCGAATGGTGTTCGGAAGCGAAGCCGATTTCGAAAGGAAAAGGCGCCCATCACGGATTACTGACTTCAGATGATAGGTGAATCGGGTCTTGGAAAGTCCACTCTCGTCAACACTTTGTTCAACACCTCCCTCTACCCCCCAAGGAGCGTACCGGCCCGAGTCACGACATCATCCCGAAGACAGTCTCTATCCAGTCCATCAGCGCAGATATCGAGGAAAATGGCGTCCGTCTTCGCTTGACAGTGGTCGACACTCCCGGCTTTGGTGATTTTGTCAACAACGATGACTCGTGGCGCCCTATCGTCGAAAACATCGAGCAGAGATACGATGCCTACTTGGAGGCGGAGAACAAGGTTAACCGCACAAACATTGTCGATAACCGTATTCACGCCTGTGTCTATTTCATCCAGCCCACCGGTCACTCGCTGAAGCCCCTCGACATTGAGGTCATGCGTAGACTGCACACCAAGGTCAACCTCATTCCTGTCATTGCCAAGGCCGACACATTGACCGACGAGGAGATTTCCCTCTTCAAGCAGAGAGTTAGTGGGCCCCGCTTTTCATTGATCATGAATTAGTAACAGTAACTAATCCTGTGACCCCAATTAGATTCTTGCAGATATCCAGCACCATTCGATTCAGATCTTCGAGGGACCCCGCTACGAGCTTGACGACGAGGAGACCATTGCCGAGAACCAAGAGATTATGTCCAAAGTTCCTTTCGCCGTTGTTGGTGCCAACACCGAGGTCACCACAGCAGATGGCCGTAAAGTGCGCGGCCGTAGCTATCCTTGGGGTGTCATTGAGGTCGACAACGAGGAACACTGCGACTTTGTCAAACTGCGCCAGATGCTGATCCGCACTCACATGGAAGAGCTCAAGGAGCACACCAACAACTGGCTCTACGAGAACTACCGGTCCGACAAGCTTACCCAAATGGGTGTCGCCCAGGACCCAAGCGTGTTCAAGGAGGTCAACCCAGCAGTCAAGCAGGAGGAGGAGCGTGCTTTGCACGAGCAGAAACTCGCCAAGATGGAGGCAGAGATGAAGATGGTCTTCCAGCAGAAGGTTGCAGAGAAGGAAAGCAAGCTGAAACAGAGCGAGGACGAATTATACGCGCGACATCGCGAGATGAAGGACCAACTGGAACGCCAACGCCAGGAGCTGGAAGAGAAGAAGGCCCGGCTCGAGAGTGGAAGGCCAATCGAAGAGAAGGGAAAGAGGAAGGGCTTTTCTCTCCGTTAAGGTTTTGCTATCCAGTGACTGGAACTCTGATGCTTCTCTTCAAGAAGCGCTACCTTGGAACACCAAAGGTATGCAACGCCGTCGGAGACCTTCCGGTGTCTCGACGTTTGATCCTGCACGACTGTTGATTGACCGAGCGCTCATTTCGACTTCCCTCCATTCTCGTGTGTTTATTTGTTTCACTACACTCCTTGAAACTCTTCTTCCTCGTATCTGCTTCTTCCGGTAACGACTCTACCATTTAATTGCGCGGACTAAGAAAAAGAACTAGTCACCCTCTCTTTTCCTTTTCCAGCAAGAATCGTTTCGACATAAAGTGAGGCTTGACTGGGAGGTGAGATTGGAACAGGCGAGCGGACGAGTAATATGTCTGCTTGCTCGCGTTGTCCCTTTGCTTCACTTACAGGGTTATGAATAAGCAGGGGCTGTGGCCCGCTCAGGTCGAAATCAGCTGTCTTACGCCCAATTTCCACTTCGCGTCATGTACTTTTCGCCTACGTTATACCTGGTGTCTGCCTGTTTCCTATTCCCCAATGTGGCCAATCACTCGTGATATTCTATTCTCTTGCCCTCTTCTGCCCTTTTCGTTACACATTTTAGTGAAATACCTCACCCTCGACCATCCTTCTCGATGTCCTATTTCCCTTACAGTCTGCTCTGTTCTAGTTGTCAATTTTAAGTTGTTGTCAAAAGTAATCTCGTTTCTCTCGCTAGATGTCTTGGGCCGTATGTGTTGTGGATATGATGTAGTGGAGGACAGAGAAGCGACCAACAAGTAAGGGAAATCAAGGATATGAAAAGCAAAGGAAAAGTCAACGGACGGCGATAATCAGAGTTGTGTGCGCGCACAGTCGTTCAAAAACTTGTATAGCAGAAGTTGAGGTTTGCATTGAGAATGGCCAGCAGTTGCATCATCCCGAGGTAGCTCTCGACGTCACTTAATGACGAGGCGGAGTAGAGCCGCGCAGAGCTTCCCGCCCGTTCTCCAGCTAAACCACTTCCAATAATACAGACTAAACGCACACCCCAAGTCGCAACGTCTCCCCGCCCAGCCTCCCCCTCACAGTTTGTTGAAGGATTATCGAGCCAGCCAGCCTCAATTAACTGAATTTTGCCCTAATACCGAAAAAAGTGTCTCTGCTATTCCATTGTCACTCCTCTTCACAGTATCTTTCCGTCCTTCCTACTTCCTCCGCCTACGCAACACTTGAGACAACAGCTATCCACACAAGCACTCATGGCTCCTCCACCCCCCTCAAACTTGCCACTTCCTGAGAGGCTAAAGGCTCTCGTTCAAACATTACAGTATGTGGACTGCATTGCACATTAGTCTCATAATTTGGTTACTGACGAAGATGGCGTGAACACTATAGATTTGCTTGGTTTGTTGGGTAGGTCACCGTTCATATTGCAAGAACAGCACTCGATCCGCCCCGTCAGTGACTCGAATTATGAATTTATTGCATTCTCGGTTTGCTCGGCGCCGTCAACGCACATAAACCCTGCGATTTTACCACCAGGGCCCCTTCGAAGAATGCAGGAGCATTAGCTGGCAGGTTCACTGACCATCTACAGGCACGTGACGCTTCTCATCTCGGTTTTCCGTTATCTGTTGTCCTATGTCACCTTCAACTACTACTCCTCTGCTGCACAGGTGACATATCGCCTGGCGTTTATTGCGGCTGCCGGAACATATGGAATTGTTGTGTACAAGGCACACATCGCCCGAGGCCGTCTCCAGGGCAGCGTTCCCAGTATTGCGTTGAAGCTCGCTGGAGACGAAAATGTCCAGTACCTTGGTGAGTGGTTCCTTGGCGGTTCATCGCTACAATGACTTCTCGGACAGCCTTGGCTTACGAAGCTACGTCAGGAATGGCTTTGGTGTGGCTCTACTCTCGCCAGATCCCTCTGGCTCTGCTTCCCTTCAGCGTGTACTCCGTTTTCCACGTTGCCACCTATACACGTGCCCACTTGATTCCTACTCTGCAGCCTCCTAGCCAGGGCGCGACTGGCGTGGCCTCCCCGTCCTCCCCTGGCTCTCCCAAACCTGCTGCGAAGCAGTCTCCTTTGGCGGATACCATTGGAAGATTTGTCAAACAATATTACGATACCAGCATGGATCTTGTTGCCGGCCTCGAGATGGCGCTCCTCTTCCGATTGGTGGTCTCCCTACTCACCTTCTCCAAGGGCAGCGTCTTTCTCTTTATCCTCTACCTGGCTTTCTTCCGCGCCAGATATTCCCAGAGCTCTTTCGTCCAGCAGGCTGTCCGTCATTTCACCGCCAGAGTCGATGCCTCCGTCTCTCACCAGAGCACTCCTCCCGCAGTTCGCCAGGGTTGGGAACAGTTCAAGAACGTTGTGCGCCGGGGATACGAGACCACGGATCTGAGCCGCTACACCGCCGGCGCCACTGCCAAGAAGCCTCAGTAGTCCAAATTATCCAAAATGCTGGCTATGTCTGTAATGAAGAGCGGTCCCACGGAAATCCTGTCAAGGTTCTCCTTCCAAGGAGTTCCTTGGGGGCGCTTGCAGATATCCGTTGCGTTCGCTGATGATTTTTTACGAATATAAAGACCATTGGTCTGACGATGATCTGGCCTGGCCCGTGGTTCTGAAGATAGGAGCTGGTGGTGAAAATTATGCGAGAGAATGGCTGAAGTATGCATGGGGGAGCGGGCATAGGACGTAGTCTCCTTTTGCTCTATGTTTCTTGCAGAGATACTGCTACGCTTGGATGTGCGAGATGCAATGAGATCTTCAATGCATCTTATATCGTCATTCACCGTGCGATTATATTGTTGATTGTTGTTGGTCCTCTATTAGCCATTTGCACTGTCTTGGCTGTCACTTTTTTAAATAAGCATATCATGTCTGTTAACGGGCTTTCGAAAGTTCAATAGTGACACTAAGGTTTCTTGATATTCTTTCAGAATATGTGCAATCCCGACTAGTTGTCTTCCTCAGTAGGAAATCTCCTGGGTTGACCGGGAATGGTGCCTGAGGCTGTCACAGGGCTCGGGCGGCGGAGGAAGCGGAAAACCCGTCCGAAATTTTTGGAACTTTTTGCGGTGTTTGCAAGAGGCCGATAGGAAGAAACAACCACCCTTCTCTTCTTGTTCGGCATATCGAGAGGTGCGATGTCACCGATCCTCGCCTCTCCATTCCCTTCAGAAATTGTATAATATTGAACTGTATTCTTTTGCGCTTGACTCTCACTTTCGCTCTCACCTTCCCGTCATCTTCGCTCGAGGTGGCGTGCTGTCTTAAATCTACGCCGCCGCATCTCAACCCCCGTGGTCTGGCCCGCACCACGATCTGGTGGGTTGCGGTGTCCTTGCAATGAGCTTGACCTCGCGTGTCTTGGGCCTGTTTTCGACGACAGAGACATCTACACCTGATTCGCCTACATCGTCATCATTCTTGCTGAACACCAAGAGCGGCGGCAATAATGCTTCTCAGAATGCTAGTCCGATGAAGAGGGAAAACGGTGCCGGACAAGATGCTTTGATGGATGAAGAGGAGGAGCCCCGGCCTCCATATCTACATGTATGTCAATATAGTCGCAATCACCTGGCTCGTGATGAATTGGGGTAGTCTGCGCTATCGCACCAGAGTGGAAGACCCTTGCGACGTGACCTTTTCTCTTTATGTGCTGATGAATGGATTTTCTTTGATTACAGGCAATGCTTGCCGGAGGTACCGGAGGCACTTGCGGCGACATGCTTATGCATTCGCTAGATACGGTCAAGACCCGGCAACAAGGCGACCCTAATTTTCCCCCGAAGTACACCTCCATGACCTCATCGTATGCGACCATCTACCGACAAGAAGGATTTTTCCGCGGTCTTTATGGTGGTGTCACCCCCGCCCTCCTTGGTTCTTTCCCGGGAACTGTCATTTTCTTCGGGACATATGAATTCACCAAGCGATGGATGTTGGATGCGGGGATCAACGCGAATGTGGCATATTTGTCTGGAGGTATGTCGGAGATGATCCGCCGGGAGAGTTGAACGTGCAATCATGTTGACATCTATTTTCTCCTCGCTAGGGTTCATTGCGGACTTGGCCGCTTCTGTTGTATATGTTCCCTCGGAGGTGTTGAAGACACGGCTGCAACTTCAGGGGCGCTATAACAACCCTTATTTCAATTCTGGATATAATTACCGCTCGACCTCAGACGCGCTGCGAACGATCATTCGACAAGAAGGGTTTTCTGCGCTCTTCCATGGGTACAAGGCTACCATTTTCCGTGATCTACCTTTCTCTGCTCTTCAGTTTGCCTTCTACGAACAAGAACACCGCCTCGCGAAAGAATGGGTAGGGTCTAGAGATATCGGTCTTGGGCTAGAGATCTTGACTGCTGCCACCGCTGGTGGAATGGCAGGCGTGATTACTTGCCCAATGGATGTCGTAAAGACCCGAATTCAGACACAGCAGAACCCAGATGCTGTCAATCCTTCTTTCGCTTCGTCCAAGGCCCCCGCTGAGCGCGCTTCTACAAAGGAGACTCCTCGGCAGCATACTTCAACCCAAACCACTTCGAGCCTCCGGACTCACTCCCGGCCGATCTCAACCGGAGGAGCTTCTACTTCGGTACGGCCCCCTGGAACGCCTCGCCTGGACACCTCGTCATTCTTCACTGGCTTGAAGATGATCTACCAGACTGAAGGATTTTCCGGGTGGTTTCGCGGCGTTGGCCCACGCGGCGTTTGGACCAGCATACAAAGCGGGACCATGCTGGTCATGTACCAGTATCTGCTGAAGCAGCTCGAGACATGGCAAACTACTGAGGAGACGGGTCATCTTTAGTCGAGCTCCTTATCTTCAACTAAAATATATTCGCATCGCACCCGGAACATACGTGTGTGCCTTGGCAGGCTATGTTTTGCAGGGCGTTCTGGCGGGGTTGTGGCATGTTCATTTTTCTCCCCTTCTGCATCGGACCAACCTCTCCGCTATTGCGCATCATGACAAGATGACACAAATCATCACTGTCATTGTTGATATGTATATGTACCATTTCTGGAGGGGTCTTGGTACGGCATTTTGTTTGTTTCTTTCCTCTCTTGCATAGACTCATTAGACGACGCCTAATTATGCGATGTGTACCATAGATCAATCTCTCTTTCTCTTCGGGTATCGAAACAAAATAAAGAACCCCAACAGAAATAGAATGAATGAACCATGTTCTCGAGAATATATCGACGAGAAGAAAGAACAAAGACACGTAAGGAGAGGATGCAATGTTGATCGCTCCCAGGCCAATGACGGCGAGGCTTGCCGAACCGCGCGAAGCAACGGCGATGGGTCGACCACAACAACCGGCCAAATGTAAACAAAGCGCCCCAGCCCCACGAGTCACCCCCTCAGGTAGTCAAGCCTTACTGTTGTCTCCGGCGGTGATGCAACCAAACTCTCTATCTCTCTATCCCCATCTACCTTGGCTATTTATTTAAATTGAGTCCCTCGATTTTCCCTGGTTTCACTTTTGTTTACCTTGTTTGCTCTGTGCACTCGATATCGATCTCGATAAGCGCTTCCAGTATATAGTATAAGCAACCCATCCCTTACTCTGTGTTCTGTGCCCGTCGCATGGTCCCCACACTCTTGGTCTACCCGTCTACCCGCGCGTATCACCATGTCAAACGGATTGAATTGGCTGAAGAAGCTACGCAGAGCCGAGGTCAACGACCTCGCGCATGCTGCTGGACTTGAAGAGTATGCTCCCGGAAGGACAGAATAATGAAATAGGGCGCTTCTAATCTGTGCGCAGCTATGCGGATTACAGCAACAAGGACGCGCTGGCCGTCGCGCTCCACAAGTACCTTCAAGATAACCAAACTATCCTGATCAATGTTCCCGAGTTGAAGGAATACTGGACGCGCGCGTCTTCGACATCGCCCGTGCGCACTTCTCCGGTCAAGAAAGCTGTCGGGGTCGACGTCACGCCTGCCCCGAAGAAAGCTACGCCTGCCGCACGGAAAGCCACGCCTGGAACAACGCGTCGGAGGCAAACACAGCCGAAGAAGGAGGAGGCTGAAGTGACGTAGGTCCTTTACCGTTTTGTGTTCTTTCTAGCTCCTTGTCTGTCGCGTTGTCGCCTGGCTGGCTTTCGCGATAGCTTGGATATGCGCGTGCAGCTTTAGCAACAGTTTTATTGACTTTGCCACGTAGGGACGACTCGGAGGCTTCGGTGGCCTCGACACCGAACCAGGCTGCCAGTGCTGTAACCAAGACTCCTGCGCGCTCGCAAATCACTGTCGAGCCTCCACTATCGCCTGCTTTGGTCACAGATGCGATTGATCGGCAGACCGCCGAATGGCGCGAACGCATCAACGACGCGTGGGTCCGTTCGGGCGTACAGGAATCCTCCAACTGGCTGCGCTCGAAAATGAGCAGCGTACGAGCTGTGGAGACCATCGTGATGGCCGTTGAAGGCGCTTTTCTTATGAAAGACCTCATCCCCATCCGTTATCTGACCACTATCCCTGCTGTGCCAGCGATTAATAGCCCCGAGTTCGCGCTTAGGGTACCCGACCTCTTCATGCTTGTGGATGGAGCCTTCTGGGCCCCGTTCTCCCTGTGGCTGCTCACGAGCTACCTCCTACCGTTGCTCTTTGCTTACTTTTTCAACATCAGCTTGCAAGCAAGTGGCAATCCTGCGCCTGAGACGCGCAAGGGCCACAAGACGCGTCCTGAGTTTGATCCGCTCAGTTTCAATATCACCAAAGCCGTCATCACGTACGTGGTTTATGCGCATCATTTCAACTTTATGGGTCTGTACAGCAACTTCTCCATTGAGAGGGTGAATGTATCTGTCCCCTTCCATTGGCCAGGCATGCTTACCACTGCTGCAATTGGGACTGTTGGCACTCTCTACGAGGCTATTCTTCGCAAGTAGATATAGATATATATGTGCTTCAATGCGTGCTTGTCATTGTCTTGCGGCGGGGTCCGCTCTGGGTTGCGTTGGATGATGCGTTCTTGCGCAGTTGGCGCAAATTTGTCGAGCTCATGAGAAGCAATATATAAGCAGATCAGCGGTAAGAGAAAGGGCGGAAGGGCGAAGAGGGTCGGACAGTTGAACAAGGAGGCTTCTCGCTCCACTCAGGCGTCAGGATGAGTTGAAGCTCATTTCTTGGGTATCTTCTTTTCGGGGTTTAATACGGCGTGATGTCTGTCTGGGTCTTGTTTGCTGCAATTTTTGGTCCTTTTTGTACTCGCTTCAGAGGGAGGCGCCTTGGTTGTATCTGTGGATTGTCGTTTTCTTGTCACTATACTCAGTATATTCGATCCACTTGGTTAGTTTTGGTGTCACGGAATCAATTGATTAATATATCATTTAACGGGCTTCCAAACATATGGAAATCTCGCGGCTCTAGTCCACAGATTCGGGATAGCCGACATCTTCGAATCAGAATTCTATATACTGTAACTTGGGTGTATATACTTGTGTCAACCACCGTCCCAGCGTGAGTCTATTTGAACAAACGGAAAAGAGAAAACAAAGTAACTCCGGAACTGGGACTCCATCACCGCATCCTCTTAAATCTTTGCGCCAGCTCCAACGTGAATAGAACAGGGACCCCCGTGTCCACAGTCACCTCATCGGCTCGAATATGATTACTCGTACTAATTTGGCCTCCAATCTCAGTCAACCAGTCCTCCACATCCCACTCGAATCCACGTGTCGTGATCCACGCCGGTCCAGATAGAGGAATTATCCCGACATTCTCCTCCAGAAAATAATATTCCTCCTCAGCCTGCTCAGCACACACACCAGGCCGCTTCGTTCTCGGCGTGCGAATAGTGTGCCTTCCCGACTGCAGAATAAACGTGATACTCTCCTCGGAGACCAGGTACAGATCCCCCGCCGCCGGCTCACCAGCTACCTCCCGCGTCATCATATACAGATGATGGATCTGCGAGAACGCCTGGTCGACTCTCCCGCCCAGGCCGCCCATGATGAGAATCTCCAGCCGCGCAGACGGCGACGGGGTTGAAGTCTTGCGCTTGCTGATGATCTCAGCTGCGTGCGCGCGGAGGTACTTGAGACACTTGGTGAAATCCGTCGAGTATTGATCTGGATCCTCAATGACGGAGACGCCTAGGCCCTCGTAGTGCGAGCGCACGGAGGGGCGGATGGAGTCCAGGTCGCCGATTATGAGGTTCGGTAGCTGGGTTCCGGTTTGTTAGTTTTGGGTGGTCCTGTCTTGGTGTAGAGCAGAGCAGGTTGGTTTACCTCTTGGGATTCCCTCCCCTGCTTGTGCATCATGTCATAGAAGCGGTTTGCGCCGCCGTCGGCGCAGATGGTGAAGCATGCTTGGAATGAGTCAGCAAGTACGTTTATGATTATGCCAGAGGATTGTATCGAGAAGTTGCACTGTGCAGGTACATACCATGTTTCTTCAGGACAGCAAAGGCTCTTTCGTTGATTGGCTGGTTGAGGACGAGCAGCGCAAATGGAGAAATGGGTTCGCTGGAGTCGCAGAAGAATTGAGTTGGGTCCCACTCCGTTGACATTATCGCTTGATGAGTTGGAATTCTCAGGATGATTCGATCAGGTCCTTATCCGAGGAAGATTGAGATCTGTATCTGGGATGCGGGCTGAAATGGCGATACGATAACGTTCTTACGGCAGTGATGTCACGCACGGGCATTCAAGCGTATCTAAGTATGTCTGGCTAGACAGACGATCACTTTATCAACTTGATCTTTTAAGTTGGATCGTCTTGGGTTGGGGAGCGACTGTGTTGGAGAACGATGCTCTGCCGCAATTGGGAAAAGTCTACCTCTACTGAAAATCTGTATTGAGGGGCTTAACTTGGATGTAGTAGATTTCGAAAGGGACTGGTGATGGTTGATCAGACAAGCAGATTGGCGCTTCATTCGAGAGCATCTAGCGATGAAGACTTGTCCTTATAGTCTCACTTTTCATCTACTACTGTACGAGATCGACATAATGGTCTTCGTTCTTGATGTTCTCATTCACGTCATATATATATCGTTATGGTATCCCAACTTTCACTAACACTAAACATCTCTCTCTTAGTCTAGAGATTGAATTACATAACAGCCTCATAAGCATAAAGCCATTTATCGAGGCCATGAATTGAAGACCGAATTAATCAGCGCAGCTCTTATAATGGTAAGCACTGGCAAAAAGAAGACGATGGAAGTAGATATGGACGTCATCTGATTGGCCAGATCGAAACGTGACCACCCACTTCACTCTCAAAGTGGAAATTCATGAGCCTCAGGCCGGCAGGACATCAATTCGTTCACATCCTCTTTCTCTCCACTTCGCACCGGTCTGGCCGGCCATATCCTCCTCAATTCGACTTCGCATACCGATTGAATGTCTGCATAGCCGGCTTCGTATTTGACCCTTCATATTCCCCTACTTCCTTTTCTCACATCCCTTCCGCATCATGTTCCGTCCTGCGACCAGAGTTCTCCTCCGCGCGCCGGGTGTCGCAGTCCGTGGCCCTGCAAGCAGACGATTGATAAGCACCGCTCCCCCAGACACCAAGTCGAGGAGTTGGAAGAGTACCGTTGTCCGTCTGGGGTTGGCTGCTGGAGCTGTATACTACTATAACACGAGCAGTGTCTTTGCCGAACAGCCGTCATGTATGTGCGAAATCCCGGGTTTGGTCGTCATCTTTGACTTCGGTCATAGCTTTTTTCCCTTCCTACACAATTGGAACCATACGTTTGAACGAGCAATATTCGGACAATAGCAAGCTGCTTTACATATAAAAGATGAATCCCATACTAATTGAACTTGGTCAACGATACAGTCTCCCTCTTCTCCAAGCAGAACACACCGGATTCTTCCAATGAAACCCAGCTCCCAACCATCGACTCCATTAAGCCCAGAATCCGCGAAGAAAGACAAGCAGAAACAAAGACCGTCTCCCAACCGGATGCGCAGCCCACACAGCACGAGGCCCTACCCGCCTCAGAAGCCGCCTTGAAGTCGCCCCAAGAACTCGAAGACGAAGCCGGCCAGGAAGCGGCCTTCAACCCCGAAACTGGCGAGATCAACTGGGACTGCCCATGCCTGGGTGGCATGGCTCATGGTCCTTGCGGCGAGGAGTTCAAGGCTGCGTTCAGCTGCTTCGTGTACTCCACAGAAGAACCCAAGGGCATGGACTGCATTGACAAGTTCAAGTTCGTTCTATCCCCACCCCGCTGAATATCGCTCGGGATGCAGTCATGTGCTAACCAATACTACTTACGTGACAGGGGCATGCAAGAGTGCTTCCGGAGGTACCCCGACGTCTACGGTGCCGAACTCGAAGATGACGACGAGGCCGACGCCGCAGCTGCCACCGCAGCCGGCATCCCAGAACCCAGCGAGCAGCCCGCTTCCCCTGCCGTCAGCGCCCCGCCGCTGAGATCGATGCCTCCTCTGACTCCGAAGAAAAGCGGGCTCGCGCAAAGGACGTTCACGCCCAGGTGAAGTCGGAAGTCGCCGAAAAGGCCGAGCAGGCTGAGAGCGAAGACCTTATTCCCAAGGCCTGGCACGATACCGAAGGCAAGAACGACACTGTCACCAAGGCCCAGCAGACGGAGAAATGAGCAGTCCCATCTTGATAGATTAATACATGTGACGAGCAGAACAAAATTTCCCTCGTATCAGTTGGACGGTCCAGAAAGGGTGGGAAATGTGGGATTCAGGCCGTGTACTACTATACCTTCATCGCTCTCTTTCCTACACTGTTTCCTACCGGAGTGACCGATCTTTTCCTTTTCATCCGTCTGGGTGTTCTTCCCATCATCGCCATTTTGGTCTGCATCTGATTCATCTCCTGATTACCCTACTCCATCATGTAACTTATTGTACTTTATGTTCTGGCCATTCAGCAAGAGGAGCGATAGAAAATAGAGCCTTCTGCGGAGTTACCATATCACCTTACCATGTGTCACTGATCTATCTCTACGGGGATCGATGATTTAAGTTCGGGTAAATCAATACTTCGTTGGACTATTGCAATTTAGTGTTCAAGACGCGGAAAGTGGATTGTGCTTCAGCTGAAGACCGTGACCCGGCCCAAGCTTTATGACCTCTTCTTGTCCGCGCCTGCTTAGCAGCAGCACCCATATCTTGCTTCCCGCTTTCACCGACTCAAAGACAGGCATTTCGAGGCCACTGCCATTCGAGCTGTCGCGATCCGATCCCAGAAGACAAGACCGTAGAGTCTAGTAGCCTGACAACGACCACAACTAGCCCCGCCGGAATCCACTCCGTGACATCAACCATACCATACGAAGGCCATATCATGCTCCTCACAAAGTCTTCTCGATAGTGAACAGCATGAGCATAAAATGTTTCCAGTAGTGCACGGTGGGTACATGCGGAGACAAGTCAACACTTCGAGATGTCCAAGGTCAAAAATCACACGATGTAGTGATGCTTAATGGCCACTCGTCAAAGTTCGCTGGCGGCGAAGCTGACGCGCAGAAGCTTACTCAACCGCCTCAGACATCGACCGATGAGGGTACACTCTCAATATTAATGGAGCAATGTACAGCTGAACAAGTTCAACTGTAACACAGAGGACTACTACCAATTGACATCGCTGAGTTGGAGCTTTCTGGATCTGAAAGCTGTGCGGTTCGAGCCAGGCTTGTCGAGCTTCGGAGGGGTACGCTTTTCAACCACTAAACGCAAGTCAGATAACGAATACTGGCTCGAATAGAGGGATGCTGACCTTCAGTGTTGTTTTCAGCCTCGTTGGTCATTTCGTAATTGAGCACCAAGTTCTTGATGCGTTGCTGCTCTTCACGATCCGCTTGCTGCTGACTCTTCATGGCAATTGCAAAGCTAGAGTCGGATGGGAGATCAATTGTACGAGTCTATGGCTTGTCAGCAACATGAAATGCATATGGTTAGGGAGTGCAACAAACCTGCTGCTTGTTTCCCTTCTTTGTCATCAAAGAGAAGGCCATTGTATTGGTTCGCTCGGGAGGCGCTTCATTCACTACATCACCCGCCGAAGCCTCACGGCCAGCGCGCCTCATGGGAAGAGGGATATCAAACACAGCCTTGCGTTCGAATCGTCTGGACTCCATACTCTCTGCCATCATTTTCTCGAACTCGCGCTCAAACTCAGCCTCGACTTCTGGATCACGCTCCTCCTCCTGACGAGTGACAAAGATCTGCTCGTCCTCGGATTCACTATCAGTATCTTGCTCGGCATTGGGGCCAGAGACCTGCATTTATTAGCATCGGTAACGACTCTTAAGGCTACCTCGCCCTTATGGATGTGAAACTCACTTCAGCTTCATCGCTCGACTCTTGTTCTTCTTCAGCCTCGGGAATCGCGTCATCCTCGAGACCGTCATCAGACGAGCTGCTTTCGGCATCATCTTCGTCCGGCTCCATAGGCCTCTCAGAATCCTGAGTCTTGTAGTTCTGAGCGACTGCATCACTGAACAGCTGCGTGGCCTCCTGCAAATCAGTTATCAACTTCCATTGGGGACGAGCCATAGCGAAGGTGTCCTGTATCAAAAATTCGACGTCCATAGGCAAAGGGTCCTTTGTAAGATAATAGTACTGCGAAAATATTAGATCACTACTCCTTTCGAAGACTGAGCGGGGAGAAGCAGTACCTGAAAGAAGATCAAGAAGAAATCCAACTTCTTCTTAGCAGATCCACGATCAAAACAGTGGCCACAAGTGTCCAGCAGAGTGCAGACCAGGCGAATTCGGAAGAAATCGTCTGGTAGATCTAGTAGGTTGAGTTTCCCAGGGATTGGAGTTCCACCTTCTACATAATATGTGAGTAATAGAAGCAATAACGAATCCAAAGATGCTTACCGTATCCAAAAGTGACAATCCGGTACAACGTATCAAAGACCACGGGTGAGTCGATCATTTTGTAGTTGTACAACTCCCCGAGGTATTTCACTTCAGCTACACGCTTCTGGTTGAACTTGAAATCGTTCTGTTCGAGTCCCAGCGTGATCTGCTCAAGGATGTTGTCTACAACACTAATCACGAAGTCCTGGTGATACCTGTAAAGTGCACTGACAAGAATAGCGAGAAGGTGGATATTGCCGTATTTGACCTTGACCGGCTTACTGAAGACACGCTCCAAGATATCGACCACCTGGTGAACGAGATTAGCAACTTGTGGCACGAAAGGGTGTAGAGTGTGCTTACATCTTGTTCTTCCCAGTGGAGTTTTCGAATTGACTTCAAAATCTTGGTGTAATTACGCTTGTTCATGTCCAGGTAAATCAGCTTGCGGATGTAGGATTCCATAGGCGTGCGCTCCTTTTGTTGAATAGCAGGTCGCGGCGGCGGGTCGACATAGTACATTGCGTTCTCGATAATCATTCTTTCTTGCTGACCCAGATGTTGGACTGTCTTCTTCCTGCCGAGCTTCTCCAAGAACGAAGCCATCCGCGGGGATGTTTCTGGATTCCGAAGCAGGTAGCGTCCGCAGTTTTCGAGCAGATGGCCAATAATCTCAATGTTCATGCGTGAAAAGTCATCGAGGGAAACCTTGAAACAGTGAAAGATGATATGCTCCGGAACAACACCGAATTTCGTCAACTCTGCGAAATAACGGATATTGGTCATCCGAACCTGGCCGAGGAATTCTTTGGACTTCCGACGTTGAAGACTGCGAAACTCTTCGTCGAGGTAAGTTATTAAACCTTGAGGAATATCCTGAAGATACTGTCCGAGGGTTGCAACCAGTCGAGAATACAGTGGCAAAAGATCGACTCGACCCTTTGGGACATCTGACACAGCCTTGATGAGCCTGTTCCTCGACGCCTTGGAGTTGAGAAAGCAGAACTCGAGTGCCAGCTGATCAACTTGGTCTTTTGTTTGAAGTTCGGGGAGTCTAGCCAAGAGAGCATCTACCTGAGCCCCAACGGTCTTGCTGGCGATAGCGATGGACTGATCTTCCGCCTCCGCAGCAGACTTCTCTTCCGGTGTTGGTGTTTGGCTCGCGTTTTCAGGCTTCTCTGCGCTCGAGTCGGGGGTAGCTTCGCCGTCTGTCTTTTTCTTTGCAGCATCGTCGGTGTCGGACTTTTTCTTCTTGCCATCCTCAAGCAGAACCGACGGTACCTTGCCTTTGAGATCAACCAAATTTTCATAAAAGCGCCGTTCCTCTTCATCCTCCCAAATACCGGGACCTTCACCCTGGCCACGCAGGTATTCCGAAGTCTTCACAAGCCCGATTCCACCACTCGAAGCAGAATCAGCCGCTTCCTGCTCGGCCAAGGCTGGCATTTCCACCCCTAGGACCTCGCATAACACCTGGGTGTTTGCAACCAGTTTCTCCAATGATTTGCTCTGCTTGTCAAAATTCGCTTGACGGTCCTCGAATATCTCGCCACTCTTAACGTAGGCTTCCGCATTTCGACGACTCTGGGCTGCCAATGCTCTCTGGTCGCGAACGACGTGCGCCTTGACATCTTCCAAATACCGGCTCAGAATACTCCTGAAGCGAAGCTGCATTTTGTCTGGCACAAGCGGCGGGTCGTTCTCGGCGGCCGTCGCATCGTCTCCGCCATTCACTGTCTCTGCGGGAGCAACAGAGGTCGTGGTCCCATCCACATCAACCGTCTTCCGGTTTTCGTCAACCATATTCGCTCCTAGAATATCCCAACTAAAGCTCTTGGCAAATAACACGGCAAGTGGCAGATTGGCATGCTCGCGATCGTGACCAAGAAGGTCTTTCAAGACCTCCAGAGGGAACGGCTCGGCTTCTTTGTCTTGATCTTTGGCTGCAGACGGCGTCGCCTTAGGCTTCGACACGGCGTCTGTTGCCTTTCCACCGATACTGACTACACCATCCTTGCCCTTGGCGCCCAGGTCATCCGGTCTCTCGATGTCATCCAGGGTCCTCAGAACTCCGACAAGCCATAGCTCCGTGACCACCCTAAGCAGCACCCGATGTCTGGAGAGCCTCTCTTTCTCTTCACGCTCGCGCAACTCCTGGCTGAGGGTTCTGAGCTGCGACTTGTCAGGTGTGCTGAGGCCGCGACCTAGCAGCCAACCGATCTGCCTCGTGAACTCGTCCGGTCCGAATCGCTGATGCAATGCGCTTGTGACTTCCACGCCCGCGGCGATCTCCCCCGGGGATTTAAGTTTGCAGAGACCCTCATAGCATGCGGAGATAATCTCGGAAAGGTACTTGTGGAGCGACAAAGTGCGGATATCGGTCAAGAAGGTTTGCAGGACTGAGGCATTGATTCCTGTTCGGAGACGCTTGATAAAGGCCGTATTCTTCTTCAGCGACGAATCAAGCGAACTGCTGACTGGAAAGAGATCTGTAGAATAGTTCGATACGTAGTTAGATGACTGTGAGACGAAAGCGTCCAGCGGAGTTTGTCATTGAACGGGGAGGTAATTACCACTCTCTCCAGCCCAGGCTCGTTCATTCAGGTCGCGGAGCTCCCCTAGATGTGCCAAAAATGTCAGATATCAAATAGAGTTTGGTTTGGCTTCAAATGCTATGCAAAGAAAAGGCGTACGCTTTTTCTGACGTTCCATCTCTTATTGCCGGCTGCTGTCCGCAGCGATTGTAACTGTCGTGGGGTCCTTTCTCAAAGTCCGAAAGGAAAGCGCATAAGTGACTTGAACGCCACATTGGTGAAGCACGGCGAAAATGGCGCGCAGCGTATGGTACAGCTAGACGCCCTCTGAGCGTCAAGTTATAAACTGTTTGTTGAAGATGAAGATGATTCTTTTATTTGACTGACTGCGGCGGCGAAGTGGGATCCGAAGGCGGTCCTGCCAGAGAAACTGGACCCTTGGGATGTTGCGGAGATCGCCCTTCCACTTCCTTACTATAAATTCCAGCAAAGCGCTCTTCTGATGCCCTAGCTCAAGGCATTTCTTTCATTTATTTTTTCTCTTATGGAAACTTCGTGCAGAATGTGAGCCGTATTAGAATTATAATTTCAGCATAGCGAAGGTGCTGTACTTTTTTGGGGTCATGCTGTTGCTTGACGAGGGACAACGATATGAACATCGCCTTTACTGTCTCTTGTGATCAACGAACACAAGCTTTCCCGTTCATAGAAATCAAGTCTTTAGCAGATGCCTACTGAGCTTCGTCTTACCCTATGCTATCCAGCATCAACCACAAGAACAAGGCTCAAAGATAGATTCAAAAAGACAGCTGCATATTACATATCCTGCAACGTCTCCGTGAACCCCGTCTCCTTCCCCCTCTCCGTTGCTAGCAGCCTAGACTGAAGCTCATGTTTCTGATCCTGCTCACTCCAACTTTGTTGACGATTGATACTCGGCTTCCACGGCTTCTCCGAGGAGCGGCCTTGAGAACTGCCACTTGGTGGATCGGGGAGGGGCTCACTGCTTCGGCTCACGGACGGGTTTGCAGGTAGCAGGACAGTCTGAGATTCAGAGCTGGGTTCAGCGAATGGTCCTTGATGGCCTGTGGACGACATGGTTCTGTTGGTGGGCGATGCTGTAGATAGAACTGATCTATACTACTGATGCGGGGCTTCTTCTGCCTTTGCTGTAACGTGATGGTTTAGGCATTAGTCCAGTAACCGTCAAGGAACATGACTTACTCAATTGAGTATGATAATGATGGAGTTCCAGAGACACAGCAAAGTGGGTTTAGATTAGCCAGACACGAAGAATATCAGACATCCATTTGACAGTTTAGAGGGATTAATATAGGTGCCAGGAGCCCATGGTGACACGGAATGTCAAGCTATGTCATAGGTAGTGGCGACTGAGAAAGTTACATTGGCCGGATAACAGACTTTCGGGGTTCCAGATAGTGACAAGTTCTTATTTCTACCAAAGCACCTCTGAGAGGTACCCTCTCAAGACCCAACGTCAAATGATATCAAAGCGAGCAGGGATCACGCGTTATGACCAACACTCTCCTTGGATGATAGTTGTCACGTGATATGATATATGAAGAGATAAGTGATCGGATAAAAAATGGACCGAAAATATAACCAGTACGTCTGTTTGAAGGAAAGCAAATGGTTCGACAGTCAGGACGGCAGGCAATGTAGAATACTTTTATTCTCTTGAACGAGTCTTCATACCATACAGTTATCGAAGAGCCGAGCTCATCTGGTACATGGAAAGAGACCTTTGCTGACAAAAAGATTTGCAAAGACACTCGGTCCACGCAATACTTTCAGTATTTCCATATGAACAATCATGCTGGAACCATCGGCTTGCATCATAGTCCCGATCGTCAGCAAAAGGGACGTGGCATGAAATCGCACGGATGCAAAATATAAGGTGCATCTCGACTGTTTGAGGCGCATATTAAACAAACAAGGCATCATACCTAGATGAGAAGAAACGAACCACCATACATCATACACCTTCATACAACATGGAAAAATCAAACAGGGTATGCCCACGCCACGCTATGCGAGTCCTCGAACTTCAAAAACAAGGGGAAAACAAGGGGTAATGTAACTATGTACTAAGAACGGTTACCGCAAATCTTTTAATCGGGATATCGGCGAATAAGACGCCATCTTGGTCTTCACAAAGTTGTTTCATTTTGGCTTACGCCAGAAGTATTGCTGTACAGAAATTAGTTGCATGACTAACGATCGGTCAGAGACTCGAAGCATACCTTGTGTTGCTTTCGGCAGTTGCGAAGACCTGGCTTTCTGAGGTCATTCACAACTGCTTCACGTCGCATATCATCGTCGTCGAAGTCAGGTATATAGTAGTATTCGCTTTCAAGTGGTTTGCCGGCGGCATCCTTTCCTTCACGCGCAACCTTGCCAATACATTTGGTGGACTCTAGGATAGCGCGAATCTCCTCGCTCGAAGGTCCCTGTTTGAACCGGTCATCCCGCTTCCACAGAGCCGGAGGAAGATTATTTAGTATAGTCGAGAATGGAGTCGAAGACAGGCGGGAGAAGGCCAGTTGATTCGCCGCATGGTTCTGGATTCTCTCATAGGTCTCGTCAGTCAGTCCTGACTTGCGTTCCGAGCTGTCTTTCTCGGAAGGCCGTTTTGGCTGTTTGGGAGATTGAGTAGGCTGAAGGGGGCGAGAAGGGCGTGGGCCTCGCAGTGGTGATTCATCTGCGGAGAAAGATGCCATGCGGGGCAGGAGGTTGTCGCCGAAAGGACCGAAGGAGTGAATGATTGGATCGTTCTCCTCGTCGTGATCCGAGAATTCGTCAGGTCTGCTCAGATCGCTCAGGTCGCTGGACTGTGAGCTTTGGAGAACATCCGCTAGGCGTGCGGATTCCTGGGCGGCTCGGGGCGATGACACATCCCGAGAGGGGTTACGACGAACAGGAGATGCCTCATCTTCATATACGACCACTGCGTTTCGCGAGCGGGTAGGAGTAAACAAAGGCGAGGATGGAGGAACGAGTGACTGCACCGCAGGTGACGGAGAGACGGGGGAAGCCAGACGCTGTCGTTCGCCAAGGGGACTGTCTTGTAGGCTCCTGCGAGACTGATTGGGGCCCTTTGGTGTTGTCTCCTCCCAGGTTTGCTCCGAGTCCGTTGAAGCATAGTCCTTCCTTTCATTCCGTGGCCATTGCACGAGCACCCGAGCGTCGTGGACATCCACCATGATGTCCGCATCTTTGATATCGGACGTGAATGTCTTCCCTTTGGCCAACTCATACGTCTTGCCTTGGCAGAGAAGTTTGACCCCGTTCCACCCCATGCACATTATCTCCACCCTATCACGATCAAATGGATTAGGTGCCGGTTTATAGGTGGCCTTGACATGGACCCTCGATATCATTCGGTTGGCAGACAATTGGTGGTGACAAGATGCACTAGACCTCCCCATCAAGATAGGCTCTCCACTCTCAGGAAGCATCAGTGTTGGGACGGTCGACAAGGGAGTACGTTCGGAGCCCGACTGGGCAATAGTGCGACGTGATGCAGACCGTGACAATGCCATCCGAGGCGGCGACGAGGACATGATATGGGTCGACGAGGTCGGAACAGGAGTAGGATAGGTCGATACTATGCCATGGCTATCACGAGCCACACGCTTCTGTGGCCGAGGAAGGGAGGGAGACGAGCTCAATGGCTCAAAAGCAGGCAATAAGGACGCAGGACGCTTCACACCTACCACAGAAGCAGTGGCACTGCTCCTTGGAGGAGAAGACTCCATGATGCTATGGACTTCGTCCAGAGCAATTGAAAGATAAAAGCCAAAAACAAAAAAGTTCTAGGCACCTCTAGCAAACTCCTAATGAGAGAAGATATTGACTGAGGTTCGCGTCGAGGCCGCGTAGGGACCTATTTCTATGGCACAATAATCACAGGACAGCAATATAAAGGAAAGAGAGAAGCTTGTCCTAGACAAAATGGAAAGAACCGAAGCTTCCCCCCAGGATGACGACCAGGAGGTTGGGAAGCACGAGAAAATTGGCCTGCGAGAAAGAACAAGTACGAGGCATAGAAGAAAAGGGTGAAAGTTGGTGTGTGGTGCAGGAATGCCTGCCGGAGCGGAACGTCTCGTCCTTCCAGCGCGGATTTGCACGCTTACAGACTGAGACGCGTTCGATAGGCGCCGACAAGGGCTCAGAAGCTCCACCGCTAACCTCGCGCAGCCTCACTGAATGGCCATTTCAAACTATGTGTCACACAGCATGATTCTCGTTTAGATTCTCAAGCCAAGCAAAAGATAGAAATGGTGAAGCATGAGCTGATAGAGACCATGCCTCACTGGCTCATGCCTGCATACATTTATCTGTGTTGTGTATGCAAAAGGCGCGTCCGCCGCGTCTAGCCTCATGTGCTCCCGCGTTCTATGGTTCGAGTCCCCGTGACTCGCGCATTATCACGTGATAAAAGGGTCAGCCCTTGGTCAGAGTGCTTGCGCCGCTTTGCTGGAATGCCGGTCCTGACATGCAGCCCACCTAGCTTGGTCGTGCTCCAATTGGATGATACCATGCGTTTTTGTTGGTGCCTTGCTTAGGCTACCTACTGATGACAGGACTGAAAGAAGTTGAGGCCAGCAGGTTGGGGCCATCGACTTGAAAAGCAAATTTGACGGGAGAGATAGTCCCTGTCGTTTGGACTCCCTCCTAGTCTTAAGGGCAGCAGCAGCAATATCTCAATATCTGCCAAAGAGGCTCTTTGGAGGAATGACTTAGTTCGGTGCGGCATATCATAGAACATGCCCCGTACCGCAGTGCGCAAGCCAACGGGAAGCATTTCTAGGATTCTGGTTTTCGTCTATTCCCATTTACACGATGCGTTGGTACTCAGCACGCTGCAGCCATCGAAACCATCCTCCCACCCAGCCTTGCATCCCCAACTGATTGTTTTCTACTCCACCCAAAGGATACAGCGTATTACCATCAAGGTTGCGGACTACTAAGTTTTGCATGTGTCATGCATATCGAAATCCAGGCTGTACTGTGGAATGTTCCTCAGATATATATAGTAGGATCTATGGGCTGAGCCAGGGATATGCAAGATACACATTTCCTCGAATACGTGCTGTCTAAGATTTGAACCAAGCTCAACGCAAAAAAAAAAAAAAAGGGTTACGTTCTAAGTATTTGGAAAATCTGAACATTTCGCACAACGTAAGACAAGAGGTGGACAGTCACAGATAAGACTTGGAAAGACGACAAAACTTGCAGGAAGCGACACTGTGCAATTGAGATGGACGAGGGTAAATAAACCGGGATACTTGGCGGCTCTGAAGTTGGAGAATAAAATTTAACCACAATGTCTCTAACAAAAGGTTGAAGACATGACAAGATGTGACAAGAACTTGAGTCCACGCCACGTAAGGTAATATAGTAAGATACACAGAAGAAAGCAAGCACACCGGGTAATTGTTCATGAGGCGGATGAGCGGCGCTCAATGGTCTTCTCTCACAGAGTATTGGCGGAATATTTGAGGTGGCCGTTACCATCTACGCACAACGGCGACACGCACTACCATGGGAGCTGGACGACTTCATACTTTAGTAGAAGACAAAGGTGGCATCGCCAGACATGACCTCGACCTGTTGGGGATGGCATGTAAGTCAACTATTCTCAACATGGCGGGGCGACTCAAACTTACAGTGCATCCAGAGCTGCTGCTACCGGTTTCGGAGTAGAAGACACCATTTTCGTACTTGCAGGAGCCGCTGAGGTTATCACCCTTAATCTTAATGTTAAAGTCAAGCTTTTCGGAAGTTGTGGGGCTGTTCTGGAAGATGGAGAGCCATTTGCCCTTGTTCAGGCCGACACCAAGGTTGACGGGAGCCCAGTTGCCGATAGGCAGGGTGCCATCGCCCCACTGGCAACCCTTCTCAGGGGTAACGCCCTTAGGGTTGACGTAATACTGGGCAGAGGTTGTCTTGCCCTGCCACTTGTAGTAGGTCTCACCATCGGGGCAGGTCAAGGGCTGGAGGTCATTGCCACCAAGGCCGATGGGAATGGTCTCGGATTCGGTACCTTAGAAAGATTTCGTTAGACAGAATAAAGTTTCCTGAAATGGTCAGACTAACCAGGGTAGTCGGTACGGCAAACAGACACAGTTTCGCCCAGAGTGTTCTGGACGCTGACACCTCCAACACCCGGAATGCAGAGCTTCTTCGAGAGAGAAGGATTGGTAAGGTGGAGCTTTCCGTTGCGGCACTCAATACCACCAACAGACTGGCCAGTGGCGCCCTGGGTACTAGGCCATTGAGACTTCTGATAACCAGCCGGGCAAGCATAGGAACACATGGCACCATCTTTGCAGGTATCGCCAGCGATGGCCGTCACAATATTGTTGATCAAGTCGCCGGCGTAGGAGACGTACTGAATACCAGACCATCCGCCAAGATTGAGGTAGTCGAGGGGAATAGCGCCGTACTGGGATGGGAAGGTAGAACAATCAAGTTCTCCATCAGGGAAGTCGGCATCCAAACCAGTGGCGGTGGAAGAGCTGGAAGCAGAGCTGCTAGAGGCGGCAGGGGTGGTCTGGGCTGCCTCTGAGCTTGGAGCTGAGGTCGGGGTGGCCGGGGTGACAACGGAAGAGAGCTCGATGAATTGGGCCGGGGCAAAGGCGGGGTGACCTCAGGCGTGGAGGTAGGAGCAGCAGCGCTGCTCAGGTTGTCGCAGACGCCGGTAGGATGGTCGTTGTCGGCAAACTTGAGTTTGCCATCAGCCAGGCCGGCACACACCTCCTTAAGAGGAATCGGCTTTCCGTCCAGCTCGTATTGCACGACGGTGGCACCGGATTCGACCACGTTCTCGCGCTTGTGCTGGTGGTGACGATGCTGGTGGTGATGTTGAGCGGTCACCAGGGAACCCGCTGTGGCGAGAGTAAGAGCAACGGTATTGAACTTCATTGTGTTCACGTCCCTAATATTGCGCTGACGATGATGGTAATCTTATAGTCATGCCAATTAGCGTACGCTCCGTGAGAAAATGAGTTCAAGACTGAAATTGTAAGGCATCCCAATCCATTGCATCATTGAGATTCTCATCCACTCAATGCAACAAGCGCCATTGGCACAGATACATAAGAGTCCATTGCTCTCTCTGATGCCTCGCCGCCCAGGGTCAGACCTCTCAAAGATGGACACGGATGTGCCACAATTCAATGTGGTGCAAATCTAGAAAGCAGACAAGGATGTGAGGGTCGATTGCACATACCTCAACGCCGCAAAGTGCCCAGGCACGCTCGTGTGATAAGACTCGGTATAGAAACAGAAAATCGCCGGAGCTCAGTTTGCTCGCTGAAAGTTGTGGTCGCAAACAAAAGGCCGAAACCTAGAAATGAATATGAGAGTTTGAAAGAGTGAAGACGAGGTTCCCAAAAGAGCGTGCGAGAGAGAAGACGAGTCCCTCTGGTCGGATAGGAATCTCTGGAGCCGCAGAAGACAAGGTTCTCTGGAGGAACGTAAGATCGCAAAAGAGAAAAATAAGGGAGGGGATCAAAGGGACTGAAGAGGAGTAAGTAGAGTGAGAGAAAGACGGTTAGTCAACAATAATGGCGGTCCAGGGGAAGCTGCGGGACAAGGTGTAAATGCAGACTGCAGACCCTTCCAGGGGGCTGAGAGAGCGAAAGTGTGTGTGGGTGGCACTGCCGCTGGAAACAGTGGACAGACAAAGACAGAAAGGCTGATAGTCAATAATACTACTACTGTACGTGTTAAATTAATCATAATAATAGTCATGCTAATAGAAATAGGGGGCCCCACTCCGAGAGAAAGACTGAAGGTTAATGGGGTCGAAGACTCCAGGCATACAGACTAGATGGTACAGTATGGACCACTTCATAGTACAGAATTCAATAATAAATCGGTTGGCGCCCTCCCGTTTGTTTTTGTTACTGTTGTTGTCTTCTTAGCGCCCTGGAAGTAGCTGGTACCTGGCCGTAGGGAGATTTAATCAATGGTTGACGGAAATGAGCCTGATGTAAGACCGGTGTGGTACGTCTTATTACTGGTCATTCATTCATCAGGGGTACGCTCGCCGAGGAAAAAGGTCGGTACCTAACCCAAAGTTAGAAACCTCGCTTCTGAAATCATCCATGGACAACGTGAAATTCTCTTGGATTAGCAGCCACAGTGGGGACGCCGACGTGTCTACAACAGTTTGTGGTGCGTATCCTGACTACTACGGTAGTCTAAGTAGTATCTAAATTCTGGCTAAGTCCAGTAGCTGAAAGCCGAGTTGCCTCCCCTTAAACACGAGAATCCCGGCCTCTAAACTCCAGAATTCGGAAGACTGGAACATTCTCACTAGACACTGGGCAAGGGGTTGCGGCTGGGGATGTTTATATCCTTTTACTTTTGACCTGTACTTTGTACGGAGTACCAAATTACCCAGATATCTAGCCTCCGTGCGTGATGTTTGTCCGTTTCCTGTTCCTGGCCTGAAATGTCGGCTTGAGCTTGGCGGTTGCCGAAATTACCATGGTCAGGTCTAGCCAATCACGCTGGAACCCTTGGCACAGGCCATGCAAAAATCTGGCGCACCCCTGAGCCAGGCACACCAATCACAAAGCAGATGGCTGTTCAAACAATCCCATCGCCGTACGGTTTCATCCCCAGCAGCAATCCAAGTCTCCAAAGCGTTGTTGTCTCATGTCTGATTCTGATGTGCATGACTGCATATGCAAGGTACCTAGTCCTGGCTGGCATTGATGATAGCAAGGTAAATGTGTTGTCATTCTTGCGGGAGGAACGGTGATGTCAAGTTAGCAGCAAGTTGCCAGCTGAGTTCTTCTGTAATAATGAGACAATAAACAACGGCAAAGGAAAGAGGGTCATTCCAGCTCTGTCCATGACGCGGAGTGTACTTGCGCTTTCAGTAAAAGCAGCAACTGAGGAAACGCGGTTTGTGGAAGCAAATCCACTTTCGATCTGCATTGGATCCAAACTTTGTCACGCTCCCGCAAAATAGGGGATGGTTCTTCCAGTATCTATCTAACTTCGGCAGGGTAAAGTAAATATGAAGTTCAAGGACTGGTTTTCAAGAAGTCGGACCTTGTTGGTAGATTGAATAACAATCTAATTGGTGAATAAAGTCTAGACTTCTCCTATCTTGGGGTTGAGTCATGTAAACTCAATAGTTCCCTTGGTAAATACTTTAACTGGCGCAGATCGGATGTTGCAAGTCGCAACTTGAAAGACAGCGACTCAACTTTTGATAGTCGAGAGATTTCTGATGGCTTGGATAGATGACCTGGATTGCTGAACATGTCTTACCTTTCCCGTCCGCAATCTGTGCTGGTTCTGGCTAAGTTACCCCCTGTACCTGAGCTCGAGAACCTACTACGGAGTCAGTATTTGAGTAGACGATTTTCTAGATGATTAATGGAGACCTTAATGATCCTGTCCGATCTTGAGCTAGCAGGCTATTTACGGGGAAAGATATTATTTCTCAAATATCCTTGAGGGCTGATTCATGCAGCTTCCTGCGTGCCTGTTATCTAGACTTCGTGTGGCCTGTGAAGCACTGTAGATGATCCCCCAAATCGCCCCATTGTGGGTACTCCGTCGAGGACCAGCTTACCTTAGGCAACACCTTTAATGGAGTTACGAAGTTGATTGATTTAGAGACCTAACCAGCAATTGGTCCATCGCAGAGCGCCTTGCTCTCATTTGAGCAATATTTTAAATCTTCCTTGTTCGTGCTGCTACTGATTACTGTTGACCAAGGCTGTTGTCATAGCTGGCTGTCAAATACATGGAGCACTGTGACAGGAAGATGTGGTGGGCGGTATCATACCTAGGTAATCTGCCCCGTTGCCCACGTTTCGGAGTATTGCTTCTATTGCGGGGCCATTCTGAGTACAGAGCAGATATCGTTTACTTGACTTCAATCTCTGGAATTTTGCAGAAATATGTTCACCTATAAGTATGAATATCGAGGTCGAAATCTAGGGCCAATTTTGACTCCAGAAGTTCGAAGCCCAGTTTCCCCCGCTTGGACTACCTTCGTTGCTTCAATTACACCAACGTACTGAACTGTCACCGACGAGCCAGGTAACAATA